TGAAGAGAGATACGGAAGCACACAAGGAATAAGGATGCTGACCCCAGATACCCATTGCACTGAGCCATGTTTTCTAAAGTGTACTACTTTTGCCAAGGGAGACTGGAACATTTTGAAGGAAAAAGCTATATATGTAATTAAGTTGGAGTTACTCAGAGCTGAAAATTAGTATGGAAAGATGGAAGTTAGAATGACAGTAACATAGGGTGAAAAAGGCACATGATTTATAGGTTAGCAGGAAGTCCTGGAATTGAGAGGAATGAAGATGTATAGGTGAGGGTTGTTTCTGCAGTTACGATTAGAAATGATGACCACTGTGTTCACACTGTGAGTAATGGAAAGTGACATTTACAGTAAGGTCCTTCAACTGTATGACAGCCAAGTAACAAGGAACACTGTAGGAGGTCCTCAAACACAGCACAAGGAACATGTATTACAGTCAAAGAAATTTTGGGAGTCGGCGAGCATGCCAGTGGAGTCTGTACTGTCACAGGAACTATAAAATCATCATAGTTAAATGTCATCAGAATTAGATTCTTATTTATTTAGCATTTATTCATTGAATTATTTTTCTTTTTGTGAGACCAGGTCTCTTTGTAGCCTCAGCTCCCTGGCTCTCATATATAGACCAGGCTGTCTTTGATCTCATAGAGATCTCCCTGCCTCTCTCTTCTGATTGCTGGGATTAAACTTATGTGTCACTAAAACCATTTCCAATTAGATTATAAAAATTTGAATTGGGAGTTAGTGAAATACCTCAGTGGATTAAAACAAAACAAAACAAACCCACTTTTCATGTCAGCTTACTGACCTGAATTCTATCCCGGAAACAGTCAGTCGAAGGTCAGCGTCTTCTCTTGATGGTGGTTCTTTGATCTCTACATACATGTCATGGAACACGCATGTCCACACTACCACACAAATACACACACAAACATGCACAGTGCAAGTAAAAATAAAAGAAAAACAATTTAAAAAGCTTTAATTGAATTTTGACACATAGATATTAAAGACATAATTGTAAGAAAATCTAGTTTTACAGAACACAGTCCAGGCAAATAGCACACATCCTGCATTCCAGTTTCCACGTAGAGAAGCTGCTGGTTAAGTTACCAACAATTCCTAAACAGATAGTCCACGTAGTACAGGAAGTTCTGGGATCCTGAGAAACAGCATAGCTGCCGAGTATAGCCTCAGGGAAGAAAGGTCCCTCTCCTGCTTTGAAATCATGAAGAAGGCTGGTGAATTTGAAGTTTGAAACTAGAGTGGTTTGGAGGAAGTTCTTACGGACTTCACCAGTTTCACAGTTGATCGGAAGAGCTGAAAGAAGGAATGACTACACTGGAGGGAGACCCAGGACCGGAGACTCTGGACCTGCTGCTCGTGACTTGAGCTCTCTGAGAATCAGATTGCTGCTGAAACCCCTGACCTGCAGATCCCTTTTATTTCTTTCTTTTCTTCAGTACTGCCCAAACCAATTAATTGGCATGTCAAGTAAGTGACATTTGGTTGAACGTTGGCAATGCTCTTGCCTGCCTTCCTAGGGCCACAGTCTTGAGACAGATTGAGACTGTTCACCGTGTGTACTCCAATAATGCCCTTCTCACAACACTCTTCACCTTCCTTCTCTTTTCAGCTTTTTAAACCCCACAGAGCTATTTTAAAATATTCAAATGTGGCATGTTAGTTCCAATACTGCCATGGGAACTCCTTGACTTCAGCCTCAGGTGGACGTAGGGTGGCATGATTTGCTCTTTTGATGAGGTTTTATGTTATTGCCAATGTTATTCTCACATTGAATAACTTTTCTTTCTCAAAATACTCCATTCGTTTTGCTTTGGATTCATTATATCTGTGCAAGACCTATGGTTTCCCTTGCCTTCTGCAACAGAAGTGCTCCACGGCTTGGGTCTGAATGCTGAAATACTTTTGACTCATTTCCCTCTTACCCTCCTCTCTTTTTAAAATTATTGAATCAAATCATTTAAAATTATTGAATCAAAGTTGTGGGCAGAGCAGCAGAAAAGTGAAAGGCAGAGAAGGAGCCAAAAGGAGATGGAGCAGCACAGGGAAGCTCGCTGAGCATCTCTGCAGAGATGACTGAATCTGCTCAGTCACTCCCAGACTTTCCCCAGTACGCAAACCAGGGCCAACAGCCAAATGAATAACCAGGAGCCGGATGATGCCTCTGATGGACCTCCCTAGGCCTTCAGAAGCCGTGGGTGCTGCGAATCACAATAACGGGAACCCCTGAGCATTTATGAAGAGGAAGAAACAAACACACCATCTCTAACACTCCTGTCAGTCAAGGAATTGAGGGTAAAGGTTAGACCATAGGTTTTATCTATAATTCAACATACTGTAGGCTCTCATCATAATGCAGTTACAAAGTCTGGTCATGAATTCCATCTTGATGTCAATGTTTTTAAATATTTATGTACGCTAGCATTGTTATATAACAGCTGTTTTATTCTTTATTTAAATACCCACTGGCTTAAAATATTAGCTCTATAGTAAATCAAGTTAAGGTACTCAGCAATTGCTTTCTAAATTGAGAAATAAATTCTTTAGGGGGTAAAGATATGTTTTGCTTTTGAATTATCTGTAGCACACAATGTATATGACAGCTCTTTAAACGAATAGATAGTATACACAAATAAACTTTATTTTATGTAGTTAAAATGAAAAAAAACAAAAACAAAAACAAAATTATTGAATCAAACCTGTTAAAGTCAGTGAAGTTACATACTACTGTAACAGCTAAAACCTGAAATGATACAAAATTGAAGTAGGGCTCTGTTAGTGACAGTGACATGAAATTGGTTCCGCATGTTGTCCAGTTGTGGCAGATTGTCTTATTATTGACATTAAAGTTTACTGTCACATAACACTACAGTAATTAAACCTCTGATTTCAGAAAGTATACATTCAATGTGAAGAAACAAGAATATAATAAATATTATATATTATAAATATTAAATACTTATATAACTTCCAATGTGCTTGATGAAGTGATGTATATGTGGTACCAGTCTCTACAAACACCAAACATCACTTCAAGGCCACGGGTTAACACATCATCAAGAGTAACATTATTCATATTTTTAGAAATATGTGAAAAAATTTAAACCCATCAGATTTTAATCAAATAATTGTTAAAACTGTAAGTGCATTGTTCTCATTTTTGTGACATCCTTTGAAACATAGATCAGTGAAGAAATTTCCTAGTATCCCACTTTGGTTAGTAAGCCAGATAACTACCCTGTACAATCAGCCTATTTTGTAAGACGCGATATGAGGTGCCCAAGCACCTCATGAAAGTGTTTCCATCAAACTTGAAAAGCTGGCACAAAATATTAATACAGCTTTTTGATTGATATATAGGTCTGTGTGTATAAAAGATTTATTCCTCTGTTCTATCAGGGACTGTGTAGTGTATATGATCACATAACTTGCAGAATTAATGTGAATGTATTGACTTCAGTCTGCTGAAATATCCAGCACGTGTGATTAATTTATAACAGAGGAGAAACGTGTTCAAACATGGTCTGATTGTAGCAACTGAAAAAATGGTTATGACAATCACAAAGCGGAAAGGAATGTGTATTACTAAATTCAAATTAGGTCTCATTTTCCATAGATGGTTGAGCTTCTGTCTGGATATTCTAAGTGCCTTGCTCACTGCTGAACATTAGCATTAAAGTTGAAAGTATACATTTGAATTTTTAATATACTTTTTGCACAAAGCACATTTTTATTGTAAGAAGTTCAAAAGCACTTTTCTTCAAACAGACAAGAAGAGCTTTACTTCTTAAAAGCATGTAATGCATTTTTAACAGAAAATTTTAAAATGTTTATTGAACATTTTGTCTTGAATAGAAAGTGCTGCATCAGACTTAAGAAGCAATCTTTCTAAAACTCTAAACAGTTTAAATGCAGAGTGTCTTGGATTTCAAGGGCATTATCCGGTGTTCAGTTCTGAGACTGCTTCTGGTCTGGAGAGAAGAGAGAGGGATGGGGCCTAATCATGACCCTGAGCCAAATATATGCTCCATGGAATATTCCCTCATTTCAGGAGCTAAATAATATCTAATATCCTTGTAAATCTCATAGAGCCTGGACAAACTTTCAGAAAGAACATATGCAGTTTACACCGTGTTCACATACTTGCCTGCAGAAATTTCCCATTACTTCACTGCTGGTGGGTTTAAATGTAGTTTGTAAATTTTCTGAAGTGTACTATGTTCACAACAAAGTAATTCTCCAGGCCAGGGAGTTGGAAAACTCTTACCACTCTGGGATTGGATCTGCTCAAAAGCATTAGCTTCTTTCTAAACATTGCAAGAACTCATAGAACCAAATGAGCAAATCACTTTGTGGGAGCATTTAAGGCTTCTATCACACTTTCATAAACAAATTTGAATAGTAAAATTTAATTTTACAGAAAATAGTTATTTACATTTATATTTTTTCATTATTGACACAAATTAAGAACAGTCAGTAGAAACCGATTGTTCCCACCCGTCTTTTACGTTGAGTATAGATAACTGACATCTACAGCTCTGGAAAGTCAAGTGAGTTTTTTAAAATGTCATGCTTAATGTTTGTTTGTGTTTGTGATCTTTCTAAGTAAGTCAGAAAACTCAATGACAAATGTTGAGTGGGGATGACGGCAGGCAGTTTCATAGTCTGAGAATGTGTGGCACTGTAGGAGAGGGCGGCCCCCGAGGTTTCCCACGTTGCCTTCCATTACATGCCACATTTTTATAGCTCACAAGTTTCCTGTGTTTATCTGAATTTAAGGATAGTACCTATTTATTTGGAATTATATGATATCTGGGTCTGGTTTCTTGTTCCATTTAAAAACAGATAAATTCATAAAGGGAAGTTAATCAAATTCAAAAATGAAAGCTGAAGGAAGAACTGTTCAACAGGTATGTATGAACTACAAATAGCTAACTGACATGGTATTTGGTCTGGTTTTTCTGGTGCACCTGCAGGCAAAATGCCTTTCAAGTTGTTGCTGTGGATGGAGTCTGCAGTGGGATTCTTCAGTGCCTCTCTGCTGAAGACTGCATGGACTGGCTACAAGCAATAGCAGCTAACATTTCAAACCTCACAAAGCACAATGTAAGTACTGATTCAAGGGATAAACACAGGGCTAGTGAGCCTTTCAACCTTAGTGGGTTTATTCAGTGTCATTTAACTTTACTTTATCTCCTTGGTGTCCCTCCAACTTTATACTCTTCATGAAAGCTCTTCTGGAACACAGAAAAAATATCCTTACCCTTAGTGTTTCAAAAGGACTTACCAGTCTGGGAATACACTCACACATGGGTTTCTTTAAGCCAATACCATAAGCATCGACGTTAATTAAGTAAATATAAGTAAATATAAAAGTAATTTGTATATATTTAACTAAAAGTATTCTAGGCAAAGAGATACTGAATTTCAAGAAAATTCTATTGATTTGTCTTGGCCAGTTTTAGAGCTACAGTGGGAGTGTTTGAATGGGATGAAGGCTCAGGAGAAAGTCATTGACACTAGACTGAAGTTTCTCATAAAACTCTGCTGGCCCAAGCACAGTCAGGAGACATCATAAAGGGATTCAAGGGCTGTACCCTGGAGACAGGTCTCTGTCATTAGAAAAAGCTTTGAAATGTTTCTGCCCCATTCTTTTTTCTTACCTCATCCCCATGTGTTTTGGTTACCACTATCCTTTCATTATTATTATTCTATAATAATTTACCCTCACTCCTCCATATTAATTCTTAAAATATATTCCAACAAAATGTAACAATCCATAAACCAGGTGTAAGGAAGTGTGTGAAGTGCTCAGTGACTGATAAACATGGGGACTGGGTTTGAGCCCCAGAAGCCATGTTAAAAAACATAGTCCAGCACTAGGAGGCAGAGACAGGCAGCTCACTAGGATTCACTGATCATCTAGCTTTGCTCACTTGGTGAGATCCTGGCCAGTAATAGACACTGGACATCTAAGGAAGGACATGTGTAGTTGTCCTCTAGCATCTCTCTATACATGTGTACACTTTCACAGGCTAGCATACACGCTCGGACACACAGAAACACATGCACGCAATGAACCTTATGAACATCACTTTATTTGTTGTCGAAGCGCTGTTTTATATCATTCCATTTCAGAAAAAAGAAACACCTGACCTGATCCATGCCTTTGTGTTACCAACCTTGGCCACAGCTATTTTACACTACGTTACAGCACTGAAGAAAACCTCAGGGAATCTCAGAAGTTGGGCTCAGTGGTCAGGCAGAACATTTAAGTCTCACCTACTCATTGGAAACCTGTTCTCAAGCAAATGCCCTTCCAGTCTTGAATATCTGCACAGATTTTGCTTTGGTATTTAAAACAATTGTGGTAAATATATCTCTCTTAAAATAACACAAGCAACAGCTGTTAAAGCCAACTGTTTTGTATTCATGCTGCTTTTTAAATATTTTGAGAACCAGATTATACATGAAGCTGAGTTCCACTGTGGTGCTAATACAGACAGAGGGAGGATTCACAATGTCTGAACAGATACAAATACATTAAGTCTTCCCAGGAAAAAGGGAAAGGCCTGGAAAAGGCATGTTTGGCTTAATCAAGAGTGACCCCCATGTTTCCACCAATCTTTGTTCCTCTGGTGGTGCTCTGCTAAAGCTGAGGTATCGAGGAGCCCACTTCCCCTTCCCTATATCCTACACTTTGTGGCTAATGCCTGTGAGAATTTTGATTTCCGCTTCATCACATCCACAGTGAGAGTGTCATATAAGTGATTGGTTCTTGAGAAAAAAATGTATTTTTCAAAAAGAACAGAATGTCAATCTTTAAGTCATAAGTTTTTCCTCATACCCAGATTCACATTTCCTTATACCTAAGAAACTATGAATGTGCTTATGAAAACTGTTTCTTTGGCACGGTTAGAATGACATGCGCCAACTCCTGAGCATTTGTACATTTAAGACTGGAGAAGAAACTTGGGAGTGAAGGTGAAAATCCATTGCTATGTAGGAATCTGAGGAAGGAGCAGCTTTACTGCTTAGTTCATCCTGTGATAGGAGCTCATCATGAAACTTGGAAAGCAGACACCATCCTTGTCCTCTTGCTTAGTTTCTTTTCTGTTGTGATAAAACACTCTGACGACAAGCAAGTTGGGGAGGAAAGGGTTTATTTGGCCTTTTGTCCAGGTCACAGTGCATCACTGAGTGAAGTCAGGGCAGAGACGTGAGCGGGAGCTTGAAGCAGAATCATGGAGGACCTTTCATTGCTGGCTTGCTCAAGCTCATCCTTCAGCAGCTTCCTTATGTGGCAGAAGACACCTACCAAGGGACTGGTGCTTCCAACAGTGTGTTTAAGCCTCCTCAATCGATTAGCAATCAGGGTAGTTCTCTCAGACATGCTCCAGGCTAGTGTGACCTGGGAACACACTCATTTGAGACTCCCTTCTCAGGTGCTGCTAGGTTGTGTCAGGTTGAAGATAACTAGGATGCTCTAGCCCTTCTTAACTTGACACACAAACACAAAAAATTTAAACCACAACTTTTCAAATCCTTGTGTCCAAATCTTACTTAATATCGTAATATAAAACATTACAGTGCAACTTTAAAAGACCCACAGTATTTTTTAAAAGTCCAATAATTTGAAAGTTCAAACTCTCTTTAAAAATCCCCCATCTCTCACTGTGAGCCCTTACTGTGTAGACTTCTGGTTCTGTAAGGATGGTCAGTCCCCTTTCTCTGGCTCTGCCACCCACAGCATACACAGCTTGTAGGCTCAGACTGGCTCCACATCAGATTCCAGTGTCCTCGGCAGAGTCTCACATGTTGCATCACCATTGTAGCTGAGGCTGCACATTCACTAACGGCCTCTCTTGGCCTCCCCACAGGGACTCTAAACATACTACACAGTTATAAACCTCAGCTGCTTTCCCTGACTCATTCATGCCTTCAAAAACCAGTACCACCTGGGTAACTATACTATCAAATATTATTTATCAATTATTGCTGTAAGCTGCAAATGCAGCCCATCCCTCTTGGACCATCTCTGTGCCCTGACTCTGATAAAATACTTTTCTAATGTCATGAGGAATTAACGAGGATTTCACTCTGTTGTGTTGATCACTTTATTAATTGTAGTTGATCCTTAAGCCCCAGCTGATCAGTCCTTTATTGTTCCTAGGAACCCCATAAGTATTCACTTTAATGTGCTAATCTCTTGTTAATCACAGCTCATTCATTGGCCTCAGGTGATCAACATACACAGATTCTCAATTTAAATTTTCACACAAATACCCAAAGCAGGGTCTTTGCTTCCCACTGAGACCTCACAAGTCCTGCCTCCAGTGTCCATGTTTCTCTCAACCTTCTTATCTCCAAAGAACGAAAGAACAGACCCTTAAGCACTGATCACTCAAGGGCCACTTTCTCCCCAAAGTTCCAAATGCTTCCACTATCCTCCATCAAAAGGATCTAAAGATATGTAAAGCCACAGAGTCAGGTACATCAGAGCAACTTGCAGCTTCTCTGGCACCATTTTTCAAATATTTTCTTCTTATTGCTAAGGTAAATTTTGGAGGAAAGTGCTCATTCATTTGAAGCATCCAGGTCATAGCCCTTCACTGAGGGAAATCAGAGCAGGAGCTCCAGCAAGAGCTTGAAACAGAAGCCAGGGCTGAGCTCTATTCCTGGATTGATTGCTGTGGCTCATGATTGGCTGGCTTTCTAAAGCACAGGGCCAGCTTCCCAGGGAATGGCACTTTCCATAATGTCCTGGGCCATTGGAGGTCAACTAACAATCAAGAAAATCCCCCAAAGACATGGCCACAGGAAAGTCTGAACTGGGAAATCCCTCAATTTTGATTGCTTTCTCCAGTGTCTTTAGGCTATGCCAAGTTGGCAGTTAATGATAACTACAACACTGTGTTTTAATCTGGTTGTGATGATCATGTTATAATATAGCTTACCTATTTGTTCTCTCATCTTTTTATAAGTTCCTTTAATTTCATGTCCTTTTCTTGTAATCAGTTCTCATAAAGAAGTATTTGTAATTACAATATACTCTGATATATAAAGCACTACATAACTTGAAATATAGCAATGGAGAAGGAGAAAGTCACACACCCTTCAGAGAAAATATGGTAAAAAATGATGTTTAAGTCTAGTTCTATTAAATTTTCTTATTGGTAAGAGATGTTAGAAATAATGTAGTGTAGAAATATTTAGAAGTTATTGTTATTGTTATTATTTACCTTATATCTTCTCATTATGCTGATGGGATAAATGACTTAAATAATTTATGTGGTTTAATAGATACAAAAGAAAATACCGGAATCAGTATACAGGAAAATTCCACACAAGATATTATGAGACATTTAAATAAATTTGAAAAAATGCAAATACATAATAAATTATAACTGTGTTACAAAACACTTCAAATGATATAAAACATACTTGCATATGCATAAACATTAGACAAAAGTGAAAGACACTACATATTACTAAAGCACATACTGCATTGAGAAGATTTAGTAATTGTAAGTCTATGTGTGCTGAGCTGTTGGACTTCCAATTTCATAACAAAAGACTAATGTACATAAAAGAACAGATAACTCCTGAGAAAATCATAATGGTAATTTCAGTGTCCCACTCTCTTTATAAGCTAGCTCATCTAAACTAGAAATCCACAACAAAACTCATCATAATTAAGCATTACCATGGATCAAATACATTTAACAAAAATGTACAGAATGTGCTATTCAACAGTCATGGAATATACACTTAGCATCACAGGAGCCTTCCCTAAAATAGACTGCATCATAAGCCAAAAGCTATCCCTAACAAACACAGAATGATCAAGTCTTTCCTAACACCTTATCACATCTTTAGAATAAATCTAGAAATCAGTGGCAAGGGAAACCATAAAATCTAACTACTAGAGCCTAAACAATCTACACTTGAAGGATTAGTGGATTAGTGAAGAAAACAGAAAGTAAAGTTTCTATAAAATAGAGAGGAAAGGAATAATATCAAGTAACAACAGAAAAAAAAATTAAAAAGAAAACGCTACAATAATTTCCCCGTTGAACGTTGAAGCCAAAATTCTCAATGAAATA